CGACGACGACGACGACGACGACGACGACGACGACGACGACGACGACGACGACGACGACGACGGTGACGGCAACGGCGACGGCGACGACGACGGTGACGGCGACCGCGACGGCGACGGTGACGACGACGACGACGACCACGACGGCGGCGGCGGCGCACGACGAGGACGACGACCACGGCGACGACGACGACGCTGAATATGACGTCGACGGACGGACGATCGGACGGACGGCGGCGGCGACGGCGGCGGCACCGACGCCATCGGAGGCGACGGAGATGGCGACGATCATGACGAGGACGACGGCGACGGCGACGGCGACGGCGGCGACGGCGGCGGCGGCGGCAACGGCGACGGCGACGGCGGCGGCGGCGGCGACGGCCACGGCCACGGCGCACGGCGGTCAACGGACAACGGTGGCGACAACGACGCCCAGATGGGGAGGAAGAGGAGGACGAGGAGGCTCCCGCTGACAGCGGGGCACGAGCCTGCCTGGCTGCGCCGGAGGCGCTTCTGGCGCACCCTTCGGCGGGTCAAGGAGACCTCCACGCCCTGTGCTGATGAGCAGCTCGGGCTCGCGAGAGTGAGGTCGATGAGCCCTCGGCTGCGCTCTCTGCTCCCGCGCCCTCCCTGGATACGGCCGCATGGCTCCGACTCCACTTACCGTCCAGCTCCAGCTATCCACCGGGGGTGAACAGACCTCCTACCCCGACACGTCGATTAGCGAATTGGCCGTTTTCGGTTCGCGAGTGGGCGTCGCGGCCGTCATTTTTGCGGGCCCAAGTCCGTCGGTCACGGTCCCAGGCCGCTTTCACTCAAGGGTGGCTTACGAAAGGCAGGTTTGTCCACCGCCGAATCCAGCTCCCGCTGCCTCGTTAACGAGAGAGAGGGCCAAAACAACCTGGGGGTTGATTTGGCCCCCACTCCTACGATTTATTTTCACAGCAGTATGCCGTCGAGGGGAGGGAGGGAGGGAGAGAGGGAAGGAGGGGAGGGCAGGGGAGGGGAGGGGAGGGTGGGGAGGAGGAGGAGGAGGAGGAGGAGGAGGAGGAGGAGGAGGAGGAGGAGGAGGAGGAGCGAATGAACGTCGCCGACGCCGCGGCTCGGACCTCTCTCCGAGCCCCCAGCCCGCCCGCGCTGCCCTCGTGGGGCCGGCCTTCGGGGCCGGCGGTGGGCGCTCGCTCGCGCGGCCTGCGCCCGCGGAGGAGGAGGAGGGCTCCGAGCTCGAGGCCTCCTCGATCCGCTGCCGCTTGGTTCGCCGGCCACAGTAGCCAGGGGTGGAGTTCCTTTCGGGTACGTTCGGCCAGACCTTCCAACTTTGTATTTTCCCGCGGTGCGGGGTCCCGTGGAGAGTCACGGAAGAGGAGGGATCTGGGGTCAGGGGAGGTGTCTCCCGCTGGACTCCTTCCTTTTCAGGCGCGGGGAATAGACTCGTCGGTCCGCCTCAGGCTGTGGCGCAGGCCTCCTCGATCCGAGTCGAGGAATGACGCTGAAAAAAAAGGATCTCTTGCTTGGCATGGCTCGGACGTGCGCATCTTGTGCCAGAAGGGACCATCGAGGAGCATTCGGGGTCTTACGTTTCGAAGGAATTCAGGAGGGAAAGAAACACACAGGCACAATTAATCCTCGGTTCCAAGGAAAATATGGGAAAATATGGGAAGTGGGGGGGAAGACAAAAACGCCGAAAATATGGGAAAATATGGGGACTATTTTTATTTGTGTGTATTTCTTTGTGTGTCCTGGGGCCCCTTTCAGGAATGCGCGCACGAGGCCGGAACAAGAGACGAGGGGAGTGGACGTCCGGGCGCCGGCGGGCCTGGGGCTCCAGGAGGGGCTCCAGGTGCCGGGCCTTTCCCCAGGCGCTGAAAAAAAAGGATCTCTTGCTTGGCATGGCTCGGACGTGCGCAGCCTGTGCCGGAAGGGACCCTCGAGGAGCAATTCGGGGTCTTATCGGGTCGGGCGAAAGGGGGGGATTGGGAAAGGGGGGGTTACGAAATTTGCTGCATGCAGCTGGTTTCGGCCTCACCGAGGGGCCCATTCCTCGATCCGATACATCGCCCATCCGGCGCGGGAGGCGCCGGAAAATCAGCTACGTGAGCTGATCTCAAACGAGTTCCTGTCATAAAGAACGACCAAGCGGATAAGCAAACAACCGAAAACGTAAATCGGAAACACACTAAATCAGAGCCACGAGGAAAACACAGATTGAAGAGTAGAGGTAAAAAACATCGCATGACCCTCACACAAAAAAAAAACAAAAAAACAGCAAATACGAGAGTACAAACGGTGGAAAAAACCAGAAAAATACCTTCAGAAGTAAAGGATTCTAACTCTAAAGACATAAAAACAAAAGACTTCGAATTTCACAAAATATATATCGGGAAGAAAAACAATAACAGAAAAAAACAAAAAAAAAAAACTAGGGGACAATAAAAAAAAAAAACAGTTTTCGAAAAACGGCTGTGATTGGTAACGTCTATACAGGCAAGTAAAAAAAAAAAAACCTAAACAAATCATCTGTAAAAAACCGGGTAGTGGGTGAAAAAAAAAACGGAGCGTGAAGCGAAAAAAAAAAACAAATAAAAAAAAGAACAAAAAAAAAATAACGGCTATGATATATCCCTTATAAAAGGTAAACGTTAGGCAGGAAAAAAAAAAAAAAACAAGCGATACGGGGTGTGGAATAGCGGACAAGAAAACTGCATAAAAACAAAAAAAAGCTCGAGCCCAGAAAAACACGACAAGATGGGCAGGTGGTAAGAAAAAAAAACAAAACAAAAAAAAAAACAAGAAGAACTAACACTTTGGAAAACTTGAATTCTCCCCCCTTTGCTATCCCCCCCTTTTGCCCGACCCGATCTTACGTTTCGGAGGAATGCGCGCACGAAGCCGGAAAAAGAGACGAGGGGAGTGGACGTCCGGGCGACGGCGGGTCTGGGGCTCCAGGAGGGGCTCCAGGTGCCGGGCCTTTCCCCAGATCCAGGTTACCAGGTTTCGGTCGGGCCTGTCCCTCCACAGAGGGGGAGTATTCAAAAAAGTCAAGCGCACAGTCTGAGGATTTTTTGTGGAGTATTGTTGGGCATCTTTTGACTCTGTTTTCCGTAATTTCTAGTTTCGTCCAAAATCCCCCCTGTGGGGGGACAGGCCCGACCTAAATCCAGGCCAAGGAGGCCTCTTCCTGGCCGAGGCTCGCAGCGGCCAGAAAAAAAGGCCCCCTTCGTGCCTCGCGTGGCGCCTCCGCGTGGTAGCCCGATGCCTGCAGGTCGGGTCGGAGGATCGCGCCGCATCGCCGCTGCCACGGCGATGCGGCTCGATGCGGAGCCCGATTTGATCCATGGCGACGGCGCCGACGCGTCGGCGATGCAGCGCGATGCTCCGACCCCATCCGCTCGGACCCCCTCCGAGGAGGGAGGCTCCGAGCGCGCCGAGGTGGTTCCCGCCCTCTCCCGCGGAGCGGCGGGGGGCCACGCGAGGGCCGCCTCCAGCCGACGCCGCCCGCCAGTTCCGCCGTCCCTCCCCCTCCTCCTCCTCCCTCCTCCTCCTCCTCTCCTCCTCCTCCTCCTCCTCCTCCTCCTCTCCGCCCTCCTCCTCCTCCTCCCTCCTCCTCCTCCTCCTCCTCCTCCTCCTCCTCCTCCTCCTCCTCCTCCTCCTCCTCCTCCCCCTCCGCCCCCTGCTCCTTGTCTTGGCCGCGCCCACGGTCGGGTGGCGCGAGAGGGGCGGTCTTCTCAGAAGCCGGATGGACGTCGTGACGTTGCAGATGGCAGGGACCTCCTCAGGGGGAAGGGGGCCTCCTCAGAAGGCACCAGAGCTGGGCGGGTGCCTAAGAAACCACCCTGCCTTCTGAGAGGCTCCGCCGTCTTCTCGGAGGCCCATCCCCCTCGCGCCACCCCTTGTGGGCGCCGCCTAGTGTCATCACTGGTCACAACTTACCCCCCTTGTTACCAACTAACAAGATCAGTCGTTCGCACTTCCCCCCTGTCGTTGGCAGGGGCGGAGGGTGTTCGAAGGCGTCAGTCACCAGACGAATCTGCCCGCACCTTCAGGCTTCACGAGGGCCCAGATGTGTTGCCAGGATATATGTTCCTCAGGCTTCACGGGAGCCCAGATGTCTTGCCAGGGTGTGTTTCATTGTTCGCATTTAGTTTACAATATTTCGTTCAATATTACATGCAAAATAAAGAGGAGGGGGCCAGCCACAGATCGGGCCGCACGTTCTCGACGCGGATGCGCTGGCGGCGGCGCATCTTGTAGGGCCCAGGCAGGTATCGTTTGTCCTCAGTGGGAGGCTCAGCACTCTCTTCGCCGCTTCGAACAGCCGGCCAGAGCAATGGCTGGGAGGGCCAAGACAAATGTGGAGCGCATGCTGGCTGGGAAGGGAGAGTGCGGCCTTCTTCTCGCTGCGCGCGCGGACAAGTGCAGCGGCGCCCTCGGCTCGATGCTCCGTCCCCTGTTCCCGATGCGCTCGCACCGCGTGCAGTGGAGAGAGGCTCCTCCTGCAATGCGGCGGCGACGACGACGGCGAGGACGAGGACGAGGACATGGGCCACGACGTGCGACGAGGGTGGCGGCGACGACGAAGGCCGAGGCGACGAGCACGACGTCGATGCCCGCCGCTGTCGGCCCCAGACATCCGCCGACATGCTTTTTTCTCCATCCGCGGCCCCAGATGCCCCGACCCCTTCCCTGGGGGTGGTCTCCGGCCCGCAGCCATGTTTGATGGTCCCTGGGGCCGCTCACGTGCCCAGAGGCCGAAACCCAGGAAAAGACACTGGATTTCGGACGTGTCTAGGACGAGGATAAATCCGTTCCAGAGCGTTCCGGAACGTTCTCGGAGCGTTCCGGAACGCTCTGGGAGGGCCGCGGCGCCCGAGACATCCTCCGGATCCGTCGGATCTCAGGGATTCTCGTTTTGTTTTTGCCAAATGTTGTCCTCGTCTTAGCTTCGTCTTAGGATTGAAAATAACATATCCTCGCATCTCGCTCGGCGGCGGCGTCTGCCGCAGGCGGGCTTCTGCTGCCTGGCGGCGGCGGACCTCGGAGACGTGTGCGGCAGCTGCTTCCCCGCGGCGGTGGCGCGGGCGGACAGCGAGTGCGGGCCATCGGAGGCCGCGGCCGTCGTCGTGGCCGTCGTCGCCGCCGCCGTCGCCGTCGTCGTCGTCGTCGTCGTCGTCTTGGCCGTCGTCGTGGCCGTCATCGTAGTCGCCGTCGCCGTCGCCGTCGTCGGCCTGGATGCTTTTCGACTTCGACTTCGAAACCACGTTGCTGAACACTTCGGTAAAGCCTGGCAGGAAATTGTTGTGCAGCTCATTCGGAAAAAGCCTGAGGCCCTCAAGTTTTTTCTGAATTTCGCCCCATCGCCCTGGTCTCGGTGCTCTTGAACATCCTGTCTATGATGGTCATGGAGACCCAGAGGCCCACCCTGGAAGAGGACCGCTCAGAGCTTCGATTCGCGTTTCGTCGAGGACGTCAAGCCCAGGAGATCATCTATAGTATGAGGCACTTGGTAGAGAAGTTCTGCGAGCATAAGGAGCCGCCCCTCGTCGTCGTGGGCGGAGATACACGCAAGTTCTATGATAATGTCCGCCACCCCCGCCTAGCGCAGCGCCTGACTAATAAGAAGCTCCCCAGAGTAGCCATAGGTTTTTGGATCCGCGAGATCCGTCAATCGATGGCTTGCATCCGTCTCCCTGGGAATGCCCTCACGGATCCGATCCGACGAGAAAAAAATCATCGGAGAGGACCCCGCCGCGCCTGAATCAAGCAATATCTGTCTCGAACCTTTCCAAGACCTCTGCCAGAAGAACGGGTGGGCTGTAATTCTCACGTTTCTGGGAGAGGATTTAGTTTTAGGTGTTTCAAATGTTGTTGACAACGTTTGGATTCTCGCTCGATCGGTCTCGATGGTCCAAGCGATGACGAAAGCGCGGCTGAGGATGTTAAGTAAGAGCGGTTTGGAGGTCCTTGTAGGCGAAATGGAGTTGTGCCATACTTATCCCACTTACATGGGGACGCTTCGCGTTAGGTCTCCTCCTCCTCCTCCTCCCCCTCCTTCTCCTCCTCCTCCTCCTCCTCCTCCTCCTTCTCCTCCTCCTCCTCCCCCCTTCCTCCTCCTCCTCCTCCTTCTCCTCCTCCTCCTCCTTCTCCTCCCTCCTCCCTCCTCTTCGTTCTTCCCGTCCACCCTCCTTTCCTCCCTCCCTCCCCTCCTCTCCCCCTCCCCCATGCAATAAGAGAGCTGCAGGCCTAAAGGTTCTCGGCACATATGTCTCCTTCGATCGTAGCTGCACGGCTGAAGTGCGTTACCGCATCCAGAGAGCCTGGCGCACTTTTGTTGCACATAAGAATGCCCTGACAAATCGGATAGTTAGCCTAGCTAAGCACCTGAGAGCCCTAGACAGATGTGTACGCCCTGCCCTCATTGATTGTATAGGTAGCTTGCATATCACAGTCTCGGCTATGAACCGCATCTCTAAGTGTCACGACACTATGCTCAGACGTATTACAGGCCCTCCGAAAGCGGAGACCGCTGCTGAGTATATGAAATGCCATGGCCACCGTCGCGGACATCCGCATTCGATACGATATCGAACCGTGGCCTCAGAC